GCTGTCCCTCAGCTCTTCAGCTCAAGGCTAGCGCTCTACCACTTGAGCCACAGCGCCACTTCCAGCTTTTTTCTTTTTGCTTATGTGGTGCTGAGAAATTGAACCCAGGGCCTCATGCATGCAAGGTAAGCGCTCTACCACTGAGCCACCTTCCCAGCCCCCTTTCTTGTATTTTAATATTCCCTTCTCTTCCTCCTTCCTCTATGCTGTTAAGTGTTCCACCCAAATCTTTGTTACTGCTAGTACACTCGGTAACTCACAGGTGCCCTTACCATGAACTGGCTGAAATATGAGGGCTCTAAAGAAGAGTGAGGCTGCCAGGCGCCAGTGGCTCATGCCAGTAATCCTGGCTACTCAGGAGGCTGAAATCTGAGGATCAAAGCCAGCCCTGGCACGAAAAGTCTGAGACTCTTATCTCCAATAAACCACTCAGAAAACTGGAAGTGGCACTGTGGCTCAAGCACTAGAATGGTAGACTTGAGCTGAAGAGCTGAGGGACAGCACCCAGGCCCAGAATTCAAGCCCCATGACCAGAAAACACACACACACGCGCACACACACACACACACACAGAGTGAGGCTACAACATGCTGGCTCCCTTTCCTCAAGGAGACCTCACTCTGGGCTGCAATTTGTGCTCGCCATCAGACCAAGTAAGTTTATACCAAGACCACCACACTCTTGCTTCAGTTTTATTTCTGCTCTCCCCTGCTGCCTCACTCTTGTGAAAGCACTTCCCTTATAACTTTTCAGTTGTGGGGGCCTGGGTTCTGTCCTGTAGCTACTTTGCTCTAGGCTGACACTATACCACTTGAGCCACAGCACCACTTCTAGCTTTTTGCTGGTTAACTGGAGGCAAGAGTCTCATGGAATTTCCTAAGCTGGCTTCAAACTGCGATCCTCAGATCTCCGCTTGCTGAGTCATTAGGATTACAGGCGTGAGCCACTGGTGCCCTGCTTCCCAGGCTCAGTCTTCAGAGCAATCTCGACTTGCAAGAATTCACCATTCTTCAGACCAGCATCAATCCAGTCTGAGGACAGTATTCCCAGGGTCTAACTGCCTTCCACTAGATGGAAGAGTATGTACTTTACATGTACAGGTCCTGGATTCAATTCCAGCACCAAAAAAAAAAAAAAATTCTCACCACCAAAATGAGCCCTGAACCTCCTCTAATACACAGGACACATATAAGTGCTGAAAAAAATCATGACTTGAAGGCAAGGGTGAGCTGAGGGTCCATGTTTTTAACCACTGAGCTGTCAACGCCTCTTCTATCTTGGGGAGGCCTGGGGTTGGGCTGGAGGCATTGTGAGTCATAGCTAGTACACAGTTGCTGAGTGGTTCAGAGATGTGGTCAAACCTACAACAGCAGCTTGGCACCCCAACCCATCTTCCAGGTGAGGCACACAAGCTGCAGATGTTGGGGAAGGGTTCTCTGGGCCTTACTGGATGAGGATTCCAGAGATGGGAATCCAGTTCCCTCAACTAGATGGGGTGCCTGGGAGGGTACTATCCAGCCTCTGCCCAGCTGTGAGGAGTATGTGTTGAATTAAGGAAGGCGCACTGGAGGTAACCCTGCCCATTATTCTCTTTTCTATTTCTCTTTTCCCCTCCATGGACAATAGAAGCAGCTCGTATTCTCATACAATAGAAACAGCCCTTACTAAGAGTGGTGTGAATAGACCAACAGAGAGAATGAAACTTGTCTATTTGCTATCTGGACTTCAGATCCCTTTTGGGTGTGGTCTGCTTAGAACAACGGTTAAAAGGTGTGCACAGCACTTGTTTCTTGGAACCCTAAGCAATCCTAAGGTCTTGGCAAAGGTTCATGCCCCAGGATGTCACTACATCTGTCTTCCCAGCTAGAAGAAAGATATTCAAGGAATATTCTTGAAGGCACAAACAGGTTATGTTGTTCAGATCAGGGTCTGCCAGGGATCAGGTTCAGGTTCAAAGTTGTCAAATAACTGAATGATGGGAGTGATCTTAGTGCTGGTTATACTAGACATCGCACAATACTCTGCAGGCTCCCTATCTAACCTTGACTTTGGAATCCTCCCCAATAGAATGAAGAATCTGATGAGCTTGCCTGTTTGAGCACAAGGTGCGGTGAGGGGGCATGGCTCAAGGGATAGAACACAGGTGCCCAGGGGCACACTTCTAGCTTCCTCTAAACCCAGGACCAACTCTACCCAAATTCTTCCCCACATATGGAACACAAAACTCACCCCTATCCCCTATTACCCATGCCCATCGCAGCTAGACAAATCCTCCTTTACAAATCTACTTATCTTTACTACTGGTCTTTCTTCACCCAGGACCCTGTCCAAGGGCAGCCGCAATCCTAGTTTTGTTTTGGTTTTTGTTTTTTCCATTTTGAACTTTATTGCTGATCCTGGGGCTTGAATTCAGCACCTGGGCACTGTTCTTGTGCTTCTTTTTGTTCAAGGTTAGCACCTCTTATCACCTCAGCTACAGATCCACTTCTTTTTAAATTTAAAAAAAATTGTTTTTAGTTTATTGGAGATAAAAGTCTCACAGACTGCTGAGTCTGGCTTTGAGCAACCCTCCTCAGATCTTAGCCTCCTGAGTATTACAAGCTAGGATTCTAAGCCTGAGCCACCAGCACCCAGAAATGGACTTTATTTCTTCCCTCTAAATTATGGCATATTCTACCTAGCACACAAACAGCTCATGATGCAATCACAGTACTACTTGCTCACCTGTGAGTCTAACCTTACTTTTTTTTTCGGGGGGGGGTGGTTCTGGGACTTGAATACTGGGCCTTTTGCTCAAGTCTATTGCTCTACCACTTGAGCCACAGCTCCATTCTGTGATTAATGGATATTGTTAGTCTCAAAGACTTTCCTGCCCAGGCTGTCTTCAAACTGTTATCCTTAGCTCTCAGCCTCCTGAGTAGTTAGGATTACAGGCTTAAGCCATCTGTGCCTGTTTTGTTTTTCTCTCTGCGTGTGTGTGTGTGTGTGTGTGTGTGTGTGTGTGTTTGACTAGTACTTGGGTACTGTACTCAGGGCCTGGGTTCTGTCCAGTAGCTGTTTTGCTCAAGGCTGACGCTGTACTTGAGCCACAGCTCCACTTCTAGCTTTTTTTGCTGCTTAACAGGAGGTAAGAGTCTCATGGAACTTCTTGCCTGGGCTGAATTCGAATTGAGCTCCTCAGACCTCAGCTTCCCGAGTTGCTAGGATTACAGGCGTGAGCCACTGGCGCCCTGCCGGGTACTAGATCTCTGTGAATTTATCTGTACCCAGGGTCTGACTCCCCAAAGTGGTCTTTGGGCAAGCTTGAGCTACAGGGTTGGCCGACCATCTACTTAACCCGGGCCTTGGCTTAGCAAAGGGGGGGGGGGCAGGCTGCTGACCCAGGACCATTTACGGCTCCAGCAGTCAGCCTCAGGCTCACCGGCATCTTTGAGGACACCGGGTGCAGCCTTTTGTGACCGCCCCCCTCCCTCCTCCTTCCATCCCCCGCAGCTCCCCCGACAAGGCCCCGCCCATCATTCCTCGCCCTGGAGGCCTTCGAGTGCCTGGCTTGGAGCCAAGCGGCCGGCCGCCTGTGGGAACAGCTGCGGCAGTTCTGGGCGGACCACTTCTCGCGCCGTTTCCGGCCGCGACGGCCTCCGCTGCGCCGCATCTCGTCCATGTCCACCTTCTACCTGCTGGACCACCGCACGCGCCAGGCCGAGCTGGGCCTGAGCTACGGCGCGCCGCGCACGCGCCTCAGCGACGAGGCGTTCGTGTTCCGCGGGGGCCGCTGGGCCGCCGAGGGTCAGCTGACCCAGGCGCGGCTGCCACCAGCGCCGCCGACCCTCTCCAACTGGAAGCCGGCGCAGGCGCAGCGCACCAAGAGCCAGGTGCTGTTGGAGGAAAACAACTACCTGAAGCTGCAGCAGGAACTGCTCATGGACATGCTGACTGAGACCACGGCGCGCATGCACCTGCTGGAGAAGAAGCTCGACCCCGACGTCAGCCCCGCCGCCGCGGCGCGCGCCTGGCAGAGGAAGATGCGCAAGCGCGAAAACGCCAACGGCGTGCTCATGATCCAGCCGCGAGCGCTGGAGTCGCGGTGACGTAATAAAAAGCCCCGTGAGGCGCACGCGCGTCTCGCCCCTCGCCCCGGGGGTGGTAGTTGGAACGTCTAGGCTGCAGTGCGCATGCGGGTGCGGGCGGGGCGGCCTGCTCTGCAGGGACTGGGCTGGACCCTCGGGTGCGGCGGCGGCGGCGGCGGGCTGGTGACGCTGACCTTGGGTCGGATGAGCGGGGTGGTGTGCGCATGCGTGCTCGCGCTCCTCCGCGGGAGCCTAGCGCGCCACGCGAGTGGGGCGGTGCGGGGCGGGTGGCTAGCGATGGCCGCACTGGTTTCCTGCCGCAGGGAAGGGAGGGTGAAGTGGGCTGGGTCGGGATCCTCTTTGCTTTGTGCCTGGAGACGCCTGAGGGTTGTTAATTAAGAGCCTTTCCGGCCTGGACGGAAGCCTTCCCGAGACCTCGCGCGGTGCAGCGGCTCACGCCTGTGAGCGTAGCTGCGCTGGAGGCTGAGATCTGGGGATCACAGAGGTTCCCAGCCAGCCTGGGCGCCAAGAGTCCCTGACTCTCATCTCCGTTTATCCACTCACAAAGCCTGAAGTAGAGCTCTGGCTCCACCGGTGGGAGTTCCAGCCTTGAGGGGAAAAGCCAAGGGACTGACCGTGCCCCGGCCCACCGCCCAAGTATCAGCACACACACACACACACACACACACACACACACACGTGGTAAATCCTGCAGGGCTTGGAGCACTTTTCTGGGACTACCTGTAGAAGAAGAATGTGTGTTCTTTGTCCATCTTGACTTGCTTTTAGGAATAAAGCAGGGGTTACTAAGCCACTATTGGCCCATTAAATCAAGGCACTATTTTTTTTCTTTTGTCGGTCATGGGTCTTGAACTCTGGGCCTGAGCGCTGTCCCTTAGCTCTTCAGCTCAAGGCGAATGCGCTACCATTTGAGCCTCAGCGCCACTTCCGGTTTTCTGGTGGTTCATTGGAGATAAGAGTCTCATGGAGTTTTCTGCCCAGACTGGCTTTGAACTGCCTCCTTGAGTAGCTAGGATTTGCAGGCGTGAGCCACCGGCACCCGGCTGTTTTGATATTTTAGTAATGTGTTTACATAACTCATTGTTATAAATGCTGTGAAATAAAATTTCCTTTAGAACTAAGAAATGGCTCTTGGGAATTTCTCGTTTCTAGAAGCTGAGCCATCTGGCATTTATGATGCCAAGTGGAAGCAGAAGGTGCCCCTCAGATGGGGGCTGGGCCCAAGCCAATGCCCACAGCTGTACCTTGGCAGCCAGGGCTGATGGTCCAGATGGTTCGGCTGCAAGTAGCTTGGCTGGGGGCTCTGCTTCCAGGCATATTGGGCCATGTCATCACCGTGTGCTTCAGTGGAAGTGATCATGAGAGCTCTGAGCCTGACATCACTCATCAGGAGCCCTGAGGAACCCAGCCAGTGCAGCAGCAGCAGCAGCTGGCCTCCATCTTCACAGAAAACAGATGTGGGAGTGTACCCAGAACCAGCGGGACTCTAAGCTCCATGAGTGTTGCAATGAGATGCAGAAACCATGCAGAATTTCATACAGATGGATTCGCCTAACCCAGAAGTTCACCTTGCAATGGGAAAATCTACTGGTCCTGGTTGGGTTCACACCTGTAATCCTAGCTACTCTGGAGGCTGAGATTTGAGGATTGCTCTTCAAAGCCAGCCTGAGCAGTACCAGCACAAACACAAAACAACAAAAGTGGAAAATCATTTCTGATGACTAAATTGTAAGAGGAATCCATTGTGAATAGCTGCATTGCATCCTAGGCCCATGGAAGAGTTTCACTGACGTGGTGTAGAGTTTGGGGCTGGCAAGTGTTTGTGTGACCTCCATATACAGCTGGTTTTTGTTTTGTTTGTCAGTCATGGGGCTTGAACTCAGGGCCTGGGCACTGTCCCTGAACTTTTCCCCTCAAACCTAGCGCTCTACCACTTTGAGCTACAGTTCCACTTCCAGTTTTCTTAGTTAACTGGAGATGAGTCTCACAACCTTTCCTGCCCAGGCTGGCTTTGAACTGCGATCCTCAGATCTCAGCCTCCTGAGTGGATTACAGGTGTGAGCCACCAGCGCCCGGCTTGATGTTATTTTTAGTTAATAGAACTAAGTGTTTTTCTTTCTTTGTTTTTTTTTTTTGATCAGTCATGGGGCTTGAACTCTGGGCCTGGGCGCTGTCCCTCAGCTCTTCAGCTCAAGGCTAGTGCTCTATCACTTGAGCCACTTCCAGTTTTCTAGTGGTTTATTGGAGATAGAAGTCTCACGGTCTTTCCTGCCGGGGCTGGCTTTGAACCGTGATCCTCAGATCTCAGCCTCCTGATTAGCTAGGATTACAGGCGTGAGCCACTGGTGCCAGGCTTGAAGTATTTTTCTTAAAACAAAAAACAGTAAGAAATTAGAGCATAAGGGGCTGGGAAGGGGGCTCAGTGGTAGAGCGCTTGCCTTGCCTGCTTGAGGCCCTGGGTTCGATTCCTCAGCACCACATAAGCAAAAAGAAAAAAGCTGGAAGTGGTGCTGTGGCTCAAGTGGTAGAGCGCTAGCCTTGA